ATATATACACATATATACACACATATATATACACATATATATACACACATATATATATACATATATACACATATATATATACACACACACACACACACACACATACAAGTCTAGATAAAGAAAATTGCAAAAAGGAAAAAAAAAAAATATATATATATATATATTTCCTTTTTTCATTATTTGGTTCAGACAATCTATTTGTCCTCCAATACTAACGTATCATGTCAACTAAAGCTTGACATGATACACATGGAATTGAAAAAAAAAAATTAAAAAAAAAAATTTTAATTAATTTAAAAACCACCATTCACCTACATATAAATTAATAACTGAATAACATTTGACGGAAAATACAAACATAGTTTTGTTAAGGGAAATAAAATAAAACCAAGTACATTTTGCAGCTTGAAAATTGGCAGCTTGAACCTGTGAGTCCTTGATTGTTTACATTCTTTTCATAGCACAAAGTCAAGTCAAGTCATGTCAATTTTTTTTTTTTGTATGGGCCAAATTTACAAAACACATTTCTTGGGGTTTTTTTTTTCTTCCAGTTTTAAATAAGAACTGGATTTAAACTAAAAATGCCCACCTAAATGAATTTTAACAGGGGAAGAATTGTCACTTGTGACAGTGACTGCATATACTGTATATTATATGCAGTCACTGTCACAAGTCAATTGACAAGAAGTCAAGTCACACACTGAGCAGGCATTTTAGCAATGGTGGGGCGAAAAAAACTCCATTTTAACAGGAAACGAGATTCAGACTTGACGTATTGCCGTCTGCCTCAGCAAAGTCTCCGGAGAAAAAACTCAGACTTAGTATTGCCGTCTGCCTCAGCAAAGTCTCTTCCATGCATCAAAATAAAATCAAATAACTTTTCCAGAATTTTCAAATGTTTAACATTTTCAAAGTTAAAAACAACCAACCCTCGATTTCTTTTTCAGTCTTTGGCAACCACGCAAAATGCTGCCCATGTAGCATTTTCCACTCTTTTCTCTGCTCTTCTGTGGCTCCTTTCATCATCTGGAAGACAGTTACATCTGTAAAATACACAGCTGCGATACTGTATTGGTGTCAAAACTAAAACATTATACAATGGGGTATTATGTGTCTTTAAAAGACCTGATAGAAAATATGGAAGTTCCTCTCATTGGCTGGTTGGCAGGCCACCCTGGTTTTCTCCAGCAGATATGTTTGCACTGACGCACCAACTAACAGCTGATTCCTTCATTAAAAAAAAGGTAAAAAAAAACGTGATACTGATTGACTGACTTCTGTGGTTGACTTTGAGACAGGTATATGATGATTGATTTAATAACATGTGACAGATACAAAGTAGCACAGCGGGTACCTGTCTAGCTGAAGCTGGATGTACTTCCCAAAGCGACTGCTGTTGTTGTTCCGTAGTGTACAGGCATTGCCTAAGAAAAGGTACATGGGTGATGACTAACAGCCTGCTGTCGTCGTGTTCACAAAAAACATCATAACATTGTTGCATTGGCTTACCAAAAGCTTCCATGAGAGGGTTAGAGTCCAGCACTCTGCGTTCTATCTTTTCCACTGTTCCTTGACTCTTTGTAACTGAAGAGGAGGCAGCCACACTGGCATAGTATTTCATCAGGCACCGAGACGTCCACGTCTGAACGGTCACAAATATTTTATTTTAAAAACATATCACAAACCCTTTGACATGAAACTGATCAGCGATTTTAACTTGCAGTTCTTTATGCACATATTGAAGCCAGACTTACAGAGACAAGACAAGACAAGACAAGACAAGACTCCCTTACCCTCTCACGTTCATCAATGATTTTAAAGGTGTTTCTATGCCCTGTTTTATAATTATCTGTTTTTATTTTATTTTTACGTACAGTGTCCTTGAGTGACCTGAAAGGCGCTTATAAATAAAATGTATTATTATTATTATTATTATTTTGGCTTAGGTATCAGATAGCACAGGCTACATTTGTTTGTTTTTTTTACATGTTCGATCATGAGATTTTCAACAACATCAGGCCTCGGAATCATTGCAAACACTCAAAGCACAAGAAACAACACCTAGGAAATGTCATTGGTATTGCTATGCTGGAGAGATGCTGTAAAAGCATTTAAACACTACAAGTCTTTCGGTAACAACCTAGAATTGGAAGATATGAGTTAACTTGATCATAGACCACCTAGGCACAAGCCATGCTAGGATAGGGAACGAGCCAGAGCGGCTGATGACACAGGTCACATCACTGCTGTTTAGTTTACACTTTAAAGTGTGTTAGAATCAGTCTGAATTCTTTTTTTTTTTTAAGTCGATGAACGTTCCAGAACTCAGTTTACTGCTTTGAACAAATTCAAAACATTAAAACAATTTCTTTAAAAACTTTTATTAATGACGATTAAAACTCCTTAAATGTTTTATTTATTTATTTATTTTAATTTTTGTACTTTGTATGTTTACTGTAGCTTGATTGTTGATTGACTGACTCAAATTGTAAGTTGCCTAGGATAAAAACGTTTGCCAATTGTATTGTAATGTAATGTTATCTTTGTTGCCGTTTTTCCTTCACCTTTAGGTAATTGCTATTTTACGATATTTTGCCTAGAATGTGAACATAATGAAACTGTCCGATCTTTTATTCTGGTAAGATATAAACATGTATGCATTTATTTGGGTTAAGTAAGTAGTGAATAACAGTGACAGTCAAACATGCCAACTGCCTTTAGTTCCTCTTAAAGAGCAGAAACACATTGGTCTGTCTGCTTGCTTTATAAATTACAAATTGACAGATAATTATCCGAGTCTGTCTACTTGCTTTATAAATTACAAATTGACAGATAATTATCCGACTGGGGTTAATCTGTGGTCAATACGTTTATATTAGCTGGACCCTGCACTGATGTAGTGCTATGGTATTATGCATGGTTTACCTTGCCAGCACCACTCTCACCACTGACCACCAGAGACTGATTGACTGGCTCCAGCTGACCCTGGACATTCCTGTACGCCTCTTCTGCCATTATGAAGATGTGTGGTTTTAACTCCTGTTTACAAGACAACACCAGCTTATTAGGACAGTACACATCCACAGAAATAGGTTGTGTTTTATGTGTTAACAAGTAGGCCTAGGTAGTGGAGGTTTAAAAAAGCAGCAAAGGAACAAAAATGTCTCATTGGAGTCCCGAAAGGGCATGCAAGTTTGGTGAAATATTCTATGAGGTATATTCCCGAATGTGAGTATTACCAGTTTGTATTATTTAGGTTTGTAAAATCGCAAATTCAAGTTGTGGTTGGTTGAAAATGACTTGTGAAAGTAAAAACTGAAATGTCTTACTAGTTCATTAAATCTACCCATTTGTTAGCTATTATCACTGGCAGTGGCCTGTGTTCTGTAAAGAGGCTAACTAAGGTGCTAACGGGCAGCTACAGACCAGTCAGTTATTAATGTTATTTACCTTTAAAAACACTTAATCTGAAATGTTTTTGCTGTTGTTTCACACAACACAGCCCTAAACATATTTCTTTTAAATACAGAAAAACTATATTTGCATATGCGTGAATTACAGTTAGTCTCATGTGACGTTGTAAATACCTGGGGCTGTGGAGCAAAGTGATACTGTTTCATAACATCCTGACGGTAGAGGTGTGGCATTGGCTGGAAGGGATTTAGTGCAACCAAGGAGCAGCCAGCATGTGTGTAGAACACCTTCGCTTTGTACCTGGCCTGAAGGCATTTTAGCACTACCAAGAAAAAAAAAAAAAAAAAAATCAATCATTAGGAATCTTTATATATCAACAAAAAGAGAATAGTCAGCATTAAGTACGTAGATGATAATCATCAGACACAGAAACAGGTAAGAGATACATCATTTAGCCATTGTATTAAATTATTTACTATAACCGGAAAGCAGTACAAGAACATATAAATACAGATGTTTTTCTGCATTAACTAAATCTGACGTAATCTGCTTTAAAGCTCCACTGATGTTACAACTGTCTTCAACAGTTACCTGACAAATAAAGTAATAAAAAAAAATTCTTGCAGATACAACGCCATATACTAGACAGATGTACTTAAAAAAAGTGTCTACAATTAATGAGGATTATGAATGCACAGCAATTAAAGGGCATTATTGATAAATGTTGAGAAATTATGTAACGTGTTAGACAAAATCACAAGGTTTTTAGAACTGTGTTTGCATCACAATCAATCAATCAATCACAAGGTTTTTAGAACTGTGTTTGTGGCACTGACCAAAAAGGTTTTGTTCCTTCACTTTCTACAGCTTAATCCTTTTTAGAGTCACAGAGGGACAGGTCCCAATCCCAGCAGTCATCAGACAACTAGATATAAAATAATTGATATTTGGAACCTGTTGTAGTGGTCACAGGGTTGATCTTGGTGAGGTCATCATAGGTATGGAGTTTATCTTCATCAGTGAGGAAAGCCTGAATTTCACCCTCCAGAGAGTCATTCAAGGATGACTGAAGAGAATGTTCCTGGTGGACATGTGTCCAGGGCAAACGTATAGATCAAAAACACAAAGGCAATAACGATTATCTAACGAAACAAAACACAAAAGTAACAATTAAATACGTGTTAATCCTTTTGAACGTAGACTTTGTCATTTCAAAATAACAATATCATATCCAATTTCCTTTATACATTTATATTGAAAAAATACATTCAAACAGTTACTTGTCCACAACAATTAAAAGGCCAACATTATTTGAGATAATTATTTCAAAATATAAAAAGAAATTAGAGGTTTATTCTAAAAGTCAACTGTGTACCTGCTTCTTTAGTAAAAGATTGCAGTTCTCTCCCTAGCAGTAGAGGTAGGAGACTACCTCTACTCACTGCTCTCTTAAGAGTTTTTCAATTTCACCATTAGGAAATAGTTCTTAATCAGTACTCAATGAAGTCTACTTTGGCTAATGTCATATTATATACTTATACTTTTTTATATACTTTTCTAAACAAACACATTTTCCATTGATTTGGTTCCTCAGGCTTGGAAGTAATACAAAATGCTAATATGTTCAGAACTAATTTAAAATGTGTTTAATGATGCCAGCATGGGCAAACGCTCACCTGAAAAAGCAGTTATTTTTAGTACACCAACATGACCCTTATTTACTTCTCCTTGGAAACTGTAAATACCAGTGGGCCTTCTCAACAGAGGTCCAATGTAATTTCGACAGTACATTTAGATGGACTTGTTCTCCAACTACACGTTTAACTTATATGTATATATATATACAGTGTATGAAAACAACAGGTAGTGTAAACAGGCGAACCAAGACCTATAGAGTTTTTGACAAAAACTAAAGTACTCTGTATGTAGGTCAAGTGACTTCATATGGTGTCGTTTTTGACACTGACGGTTACAATTTTAAACCGGTGACAAGAAGCGCGTTCTAACGCTGCTGTACATGCTACTCATTCCTCCTCATGCGCGTTTCTAACTTACCGTACCATTTTCATTCCCGTATCGTAAGCCAATGCGGCGTTCTTTCGCTGAGGAATTCATTTATCTAACGTTGTGGATGTGCAAACACGACGTCAAAAACATTTTTAAAAAACTACATTACAGTATTATTTAACTCCGTTGAATCCTGACATTTTCCATTACTGTCAGAAATGCCTCAAGGACAACTTCCTTTCTGGTTCCCTCCCTAATGTCTCCTATGACTCCCGCCCGCTCTGGAAATCCCAGCTGTCCATTACGAGTGTTCGCATTTATAGTAGTTTTAGCTGATAGTGCTGCTCTTAAAAAAAGATTTAAGTATTTTTTCAGTGTACCTTCATATATACTAAATTTACATTATTGAAAAACAATTTAGGTATTATTTTGACATGAGTACACAGCATATAAACGCTCACCTCAGTGACAGTTGCTAGAAGCAGAATTTAAAAGAACATTTTACATTAAATGTGTAATATATATTAAAGTTAGTTATTATGAATGACATTATAGTACACCTTGCGAAATTAAAAAGATTAAACCGTGCGCCGGAAATGTTCGAAAGTCCGAGCTGCCTTGAATGCGCCAAAACGCCAACACGGAAGTTATATGGAATCTTGGATTGGAAACATGTTTTTTCATTAGTACATCTGTGTGCTAAAATACAGCTTTCTGTGAACTTGCATTTTTAGTTTTCTACGCTTCGAATCAAGAGGTAAGTTAAATATCCCTCAAAAATCAGCCCCACTTCTAATGCGGCAATATTTACGTTCCTGAAATGTAATATTCACTACATAAATATTAGTGAATTAAAGATTTTACGCTGTAATGGCGTCTTTGCATATTCAGAATCCATTACTGTTACGACTCTCATTGTTAAAATTATATGTTTGCAGGTCATGTCTCAAAAGGAACTAAAACAAGCATTTGTCAGTAATCTGACTGGCACCAGTCTGCAGGAAGTGGTACTGGGTTCCTTTATCTCGCCAGTGTGCCTTCTCAACAGAGGTCTAATGTGGATTCTTCTTCAACAGGCCACGGGGATTCTTCCGTCATTTTGTCACCTGCTTTTAGACTTTGCTGCCCTTATTTTACCCCTGGTCATCTCGTGTACAATTTTCAGTGATATTCTTCTTCAGGTCATCGTAACCTTAACCCTTGTCTCAGTGTGTATGTTGTGCTTTATCCACTACACCTACCACACTAAAACCACTTTCAGCACCTTACTTCAGAGCCACGTTCAATTCAACCAGGTTCCCTTTGTGACTGTTTTTAGAGTGTTTGTTAACGTGAAAACAGCCATCAGCATACTTGCTGTAGACTTTGCCGTTTTCCCAAGGCGATATGCTAAAACAGAATCCTATGGGACAGGGGTAATGGACTTTGGTGTTGGTGCTTTTGTCTTTGCAAATGGCCTTGTGTGTCCAGAAGCACGGCGGAAAAACATCTCTGGATCAAAGATTAATTACATTATAAAGCAGCTTGTGTCTGTCTGTCCCTTGGTTGTCCTTGGTATGGGACGGCTGCTGAGTGTCAAAATGTCAGACTACCATGAGCATGTGACAGAATATGGTGTTCACTGGAATTTCTTTTTCACACTTGCCATCATCAGAGTTGGGGCCTCAATGCTTTTGATTGTTCTCCCAATCCACAATTCATGGCTTATTTCCCTCCTGATCAGTGGACTTTATCAGGTCACTCTGGAGACAACGGGACTAAAGACCTTTATCATCCGCAACACTGACAGAGACAAAAACTTTCTACATGCTAACAAAGAGGGTATATTCTCTATGGTTGGTTATGTAGCCATCTACTTGGCAGGCGTTCAAGTTGGTCTTTATGTGATGCGCCAAAGGTCACAGGTGAAAGAGTGGCTGAAAACAATATTACTCCTCTTGCTCGCCAGTTTTGTGCTGTACGCTGTTTTATACATAAGTCAGATACTAGTGGAGCCTGTGTCACGGCGATCAGCTAATTTGCCCTTCTGCCTCTGGACTGTTGCACAGTCTTTGTTTTTTTTGTCCTGCCTTGGCTTAGTTGATGTGGTATTGCTGTTATCCAAAACAGCATCAGGTTGTCACTCTATACTCTCACCGTGGCATCTGCATAAAAAACAATCAAAATCAACTGGTCTGGTCAATTCGACTGTAGACACATTGAACTGTAACCGTTTATTTTCAGTGTATGTTTTACTAGTGTACATGTTTATTAACTGCACTGTTGTATATGTTCTTCATATATGGGGGATTACAGTTAAATTTTGGTGAAAAAAAATGTGTAAATATGATACTGAGATAACTTTAATGTAGTGTAGTGTTTGTTTTCATATTTTGTATTATTAACTGGTGCTTGTTTGTGTGGTATGGTATGGTGGTTATGTGTGTGTTGCTTCTAGGAATAGTTGTTGAATAGTAAAATGTTAGCCTTATTAATAATTTGTTTGATAAGTTCTGGCTAAGTGAGTCTAAAATGCAACATTTTCACATCTTCAATTTCTGTTTTGTTTTTTTCTATTTCCATTTAAATATAATTATTTAATTCATTCAGTGACATATCAAAGATAAGTTATTCTCACCCCATGAAACTTTTTGCTTCATTTCCTTTTTTGCAAAAATACCAAACAAACAGAAACAAAACACCACCACCCTGAATTATCCATTGTTTGTATTTTAATAAAAAAAATAGAATTGCTGTTACTTGGATTCGTTTTCATTAAGTTCAGACAAATCTCCTGTGGTTTCTAAACATCATCTGTGGTGAATCCTTTCAATTTGTAGTTATGATGGTCTCCTGGTGTAAACTCTGTTCCTCATTTTCCTCCACAGATTCTGTCTATTTTGTATTAAAGTCAGGATTTTTGTGAATACCAGTCAATACTCATCAACTTCATTTCAGAGAATTGTTTTTATTTTATGAATTTTAGAAATAAAGCTAGTGGGACTACACGTAATGTGATGAGAAATGAAAAGCAATAAAAGGTGTAGAGATATTTACTGGGAAATAATTTTACCTTCACCATATGGTTAATCATTAACAAGTTTACATTTATCTCGGAACACGAGATAAATGTAGAAAAGGCAACATATCAACTTCTATTAATATATAACAAATGTAAAAAAAAATGTATAACTATTATTTTAATACCTGAAATAAACAAAGAAAAACGAAATGTAAAGCAGAAATCCACATCTTGAACAGGAGCAGCTCCTTATATTAATCAAATTAGGGAACATATTTTAGGATTTAGCAATATATTGCAGTAAGTTATATCATATTATATAAGTTGCATGCTTTGTCCTAATATACCTAAAATTTCTGTTTCTGTCCATGCAAATAAGAGTTATATCTTAGAAAAAACGTGTAAATAAGGATTATAAATAGGGATATAATTAATGCCACCAACATATAACTAAATGTGTGTGAAAAAAAAATCACCAGCAAATAACAGTGTGTAACGTTGACATTTTTAAATTTAAAAATCTATCGATTGACTGCCTTCTGGTGGTCAGTAATATTACAACGTCACATGCTACGTCTGAGGGTAAAGGTGAAATCAGTGATGAAGATTCCGCCACCGCAGTCGCTTCTACCACTGTCGTACTTGTTAGTTTTCTGAGACGAAGTTAAGTTAAACGGGTGAGTGCGTGTCATTACTGTTGTCAGTCTGGAGCTGGTATAATGCAGGGGCTTATGTTTCGAAAGTCATATGAGGCCAATGACAATGTCAGTTGTAAAGGGTGCAGTTTCACCTACTTCAACTTTATATTAGCCGCATTTAGGCTGTGCTAACGTTAGCTCCGTGAAGATAGCTCAGCTAACGAGCAAGTCAGCCAAGTTTACTCTGTCGAGAGAGCGGAGAACGTTGTCATTTTCCTGGTGTAGGGAATTTGTAATTTGTTTACGCATTAGAGTACCTTGAAACAACGACACATCGCTTCAGAACATTTAGCAAATAATACTTTCAGACATATTTAGCCTTATTTCCCAATGCAATTAGCTTGCAGGCTAACCTTAGGTGTTCAGTTGACTGCTGTCTTCTTTTCCAGTTTTATACAGACAAATGTAACCAAGTGATTGAAACGGGTTTCATTAGGCAGGTTTGTTTGAAACACTGCATGCTTTTTACCCAAAGCGGCGTTGGCTTTATATATTCTTCAGCAAACTTTGCGGGTGAAATCTGGGTCAACGCAAGTCTTTCCCAAGTGCAGGTCAGTTTGGTTTATTATGTGTCCATTTACGACCAGACGGATGGATTTGAAGTGAAGACTCGTTTTGGTCCGAATGTCAGGTTTTAACATAACAAGCGATTTTGAAAGCTAGCCGTTTAATGACTTGCTGTCGATTAGCACTAGCATGTTTTAATGTAGCAATGTGCTGCTGTTAGTTGGATTGTAGTCACCTTGGTGTGTTGTTCTACCTGCAGGGGCAAACACTGGAATAAACCATGGCACGACTAGTAGCAGTTTGCAGGGAAGGAGAGGAGGACTATACGTTCCTCTCCAGACAGATTCCTCTGTACATTGACGATACTCTGACGGTGAGCAAGCTTTTCTTAAAAATATGAATCTCGTGTACTGTATGCAGTGACTTATCCGAGCCATCTGCAGCCCTGTGTGCCCCCTAAGAATGAATTTAAGTATTTTGATATGGGTTCACACGCAACTGCAGTCAACATTTTTTTTTTGTTTTTTTTTTGTGATTGAGGTGTATGGGACTAGTTCTAGGTATCTTCAAAGATAAAAGCCATACCACTTGCATTCAGTTGTATGGTTTTTCTCTTCTCCTAATGGTACTATATGAAACTGAGAAGACTTTAGTGAGAAGAATTGACACCGTGAAATGACTTGCTGACATTGTAAAAACTGAGACACTACCCAAGTTTTCATGGACCTGTACAATTAACAAATAACTTCCAAGATCGGAGTAGCACTCATGGACATTATGGTAATAATTAATTGTTGTGGGTAGGTGTTAGTTGATTGTTGTTATTTAATTGTAAGTAGGACAAATGTATGTGTCCTAGACTGGAAATCCAGTTAAATTTGCTTAAATGTTCCATCACACATATTGCAGTTAAATATTTATTTTCAAAAAGAGGCTCCTGTCAAACGATTAATATATTAATATGTAATTATTAGTGTTGATTTGTGGTCATGTTATGTCATCTTACCAGATGGTGATGGAATTTCCTGATATTATCAAGAATGTTGACAGGCATGAAATGAACTCATCTCGATGGAAACAGTTTTCTGAGGTAAGCACTTTAACACATAATGACTCCAATAGTTTAAATTAAAAGCCTTATGTTGAATCCACAAGTACCAGATTGGTTTTTGTTTTTTTTTTTGACAGTACTGTGTTCTCTGTGACATTTAGTTTTACTCCAAACTGAAGCAACAGGACTTGAATGTCGCCCTGATTGTGACCACCAAAGAAATTTATGGTGCGTTATCTCAGTTGGTGCCATGTGTTGGATGCAGAAGAAGTGTGGAGCGTCTCTTCTCACACTTGGTGGAATCAGGGAATCCGGCTCTGGAGCCTCTTACAGTAAAATCTACAGGTCTACTCTCTATCACCAAGGCCTGTTTAACAGATGTGAAGAAGCTTTACACCCTCTTCTACATACATGGGTAAGATGGATGTTTTTTTTTGTTTTTTTTTTTGCAAAGCATTTAATAGGAAAGTGTGTGGGGACGATGCCTTGCTCAGAGCACCCCCGTGGTAACTTGTGACTCGAACTTGAAGCCTTCCGGACCCAAGTCCGCTTCCTTAACCACTAGGCCACCACTGCCCCTATTATATATTGATGTAGCATGATTTAAAAAAAAAAGTAGTTTCATTAATTCCAGGCTTTATAATCAACATATTACATTCTAAAATTGCACATTCAAATGAATCAAATAAACTTGTAAATAAAATATAGTTTAGGTTGCTGGCTTAATCAATAAATAGAAATGCATGTTAGCACTAGAGATTTTTGCGTTTGTTTTTTTATCTCTCTTTTTTTTTGCAGGTCAAAGTTGAATCACATAATTGATGGCATTCCAAAAAGTAAGAAAAACAAGAGATGCCAGTTGCACTCCTTAGACACACATAAACCTAAACCTTTGGGGTAAGTCATTTACAACAAAGCATTGTTCTGCCCTCTCTGCACATTGTGGTTGTTCAGTTTACATCATAACAGTCAGTGTTCTCTGACTAATCTTTTTATGGATTGTACAGTGACTCTTTGACAGTGGTTGTTTTCAAATGTGTTTTGATAAATAAACTCCACTTGCTTTCAGGGGAAGCTGGATAGATATATGGGAGCTGATGTCTCAGGAGTGCAGAGATGAGGTGGTCCTCATTGACAGCGCCTGTCTCTTGGAGACATTGGAGACATATCTGTGTAAGCACAGGTAAGGTATCGCAGCAATGTGTAGTTGTGAACTTTACGGTCAAGTGGTCAACTTATGGTGAGCTGAATCTTGTTGTCAACAGGTTTTGCACTGACTGTAAAAATAAAGTGCTGCGGGCGTACAACATCCTGGTTGGGGAGTTGGACTCCAGTAAAGAGAAGGGTTACTGCGCTGCCTTATATGAAGGACTGTGTTGCTGCCCCCATGAGCAACACATTCACGTGTGCTGTGAAACAGACTTCATCGCTCACCTGCTTGGCCGAGCCGAGCCTGAGTTTGCAGGAGGTTATGAGTAAGTTTTATAGATTTGTACAATGACTTGATCGCACGTTAGTTTCCTCATAACTTATTTATTTGATTTGTTTTTAATTTTCTTTAAATGAAAGGCGCAGAGAGAGACACGCAAAGACCATTGACGTTGCACAAGAAGAGGTCCTGACCTGTCTGGGTATTCACCTCTACGAGAGACTGCACAGGATCTGGCAGAAACAACGAGCCGAGGAGCAGACCTGGCAGTTACTGTTCCATTTGGGAATTGATACACTACATAAAAGTTTTGAGGTACACTTTGTGAATGTGGAATCATTTTAGAAGTATTTATTATACAGTACTTTACCTGGTAATGTCCTAAGCAGAAGAATAGAGACCGATAGCTCAATTGTCATTCGTGACCATTAAAAAAAGGAAATTGATCGTGGGTAGAATTATTATAAATGTGAAATATATTGCATTTATATGTTGGCTCCAGATGGCGGTAGAGAAGATGCAGGGCATCAGTCGACTAGAACAATTAGTTGAGGAGCTTTCTGAGGAGGAGAGGGCCAAAGAGCTGAAGCAGGAGAAGAAGAGGCAAAAACGAAAGAATCGACGCAAAAACAAGTGTGGATTAGAAGAGGTTAAGAGCACAAACCTTGATGAGGTAATGGTTCTTTTATACATAATTAGAGACTTTGGTCTTCTACAGTCAGGCTTCAGTCTAACAGACTTGTGTCGTAGGCTTTACTTCACCCTGATGTGGGCGGATGTAAGGGATGTAGTAGTCATGATGATGAAGAGGAGGAGGAGGAGGACCTGGGCTACAGGAGGACTGCCTCCTGTAGCTGCCCACATGACGCTAAACAAGGTAACGATGTCTGAGTGGCCAAAATATGAAGACACTTTATTTAGTGTTTAGTTAAGTTTTTTTTTTTGTAAAGTATAAGCCTTTTGTTGCTTCTTTAGATTTGTCCACCCACAGCAATGGCAGTGACTGTGGCTACTCCTCGAGCATAGAGAGCGGCGATATAGGATCACGAGAAGGCTCTGACATTGCCTGCTCTGAGGGGATCTGTAATCACGAAGAAGCAGGTAAGCTTTAACATGTAGTATAAAAACAGAATGCACCTTTTTTAAGAAAGCGGGCTGTGTTTTTTTTTTCCATTTTTTTAAATTATTGGTTCTTGTTTGTCTTTTAAAGTTGACGAGTCAAGTAGTGACCGTCAGTGTTTCAAGGACAAGGAGGAAGATGGAATAGACAGTTGTGTAGATTGCTGGCAGTGCTCTGATGACAACACTCAATGCAAGAGTAAAAAAAAGAAAAAGGGCAAAGGCTTATGCACCGACCAGGTAAGTGAAAGCATCAGCGTCAGCGTCCCCTTGATCTATGTTGAAGACACCAACCTCTCACCATTATAGTACATATGTATTTTTTTTTACAGAGCCACAAATGTGAAAGTTGTTTGTCGGCCGGCTATACCACCATCTTTAGTGCATCGTTGCACACGTGCAGAACCAAAGAAGTCTCTCCCTCCTTATGTGGCAATGCATTTTCAAGCATCACACAACTTCTGGTGAGTAACTGTAGAATTAGTTAGTGAATGTCGCATTTCGAGCATCACTGGAAAGGTCACGGGAAATTGGTTGATTGTGGTGTTTTTAAACGCGGGCTGTTAAAACACTAAGGATTTGAGATGAGCAGTTCTTGATTCAAATTATAGCTCTGGTAATGGTTGGTAGAATTTGACGCCGTAAAAACATGACAGATTTATGCCCGTGTATAAATGAAGTTAGTGTAGAACTACAATTGTTTAAACGGCCCAATGTCTCTGTGATATGACAGATTTAATTTTGTGACTATAAACAAAGTATTTCTGTTTGCACACTGCTGAATGATAAATATATTACATGAATTGATGTACACTGCCTGGCCAAAAAAAAAAAGGGTCATACACTCTAATATTTCGTTGGACCGCCTTTAGCTTTGATTACAGCGCGCATTCGCTGTGGCGTTGTTTTCGATAAGCGTCTGCGTCTGTCACAAGATTTATTTCCATCCAGTGTTGCATTCATTTTTCACCAAGATCTTGCATTGATGATGGTAGAGTCTGACCGCTGCACAAAGCCTTCTCCAGCACATCCCAAAGATTCTCAATGGGGTTAAGGTCTGGACTCTGTGGTGGCCACAATCCATGTGTGAAAATGATGTCTCATGCTCCCTGAACCAGTCTTTCACAATTTGAGCCCGATGAATCTTGGCATTGTCATCAGGGAAGAAAAAATCCATTGATGGAATAACCATCAGTAATTATCCAATAGGAGGCTCGTACCTATTTGCTTAGCTAAATCCAGGTGGCGACTTTTTTTTTTTTTTTTTTTTTTTTGGCCAGGCAGTGTATTTTCCTTGGTTTTCCTTTTGTAAGGATGTTCCTTTGTTTGTCAATGTGTGACAGGCAGAGCAATTTAATTCTCTTCCGCTAGGTGGCAGCAGATGGTTATTAAAACTAAAAAAAAAGATAAGAGTTGTTGAAGATCTTTGAGTGTCTTTTTTTTTTCAATTCCTTACAGTATATCAGTAATGTCTTCAACTAAACATGAAGTACATTTTAGTAAATTTAAACTAGAATACTAATATATTTCATTACATTTTGTGATATTTTTGTTTGGTGTTGTGCTGTAGGGTTTTTTTTTTCTGATGATATACAGTATATGGGGGGGGTTTCTGATGATATACAGTATATGTGTCCCAAAAGGTTGGGAAACACTATTGTACAAAATGGAGAAATTATTTGTATAGTAGATGTTTTATTTACAGTATTTGACCTTGTGTGTGTTTTTTTTTTTCTTTAACAGGATTATTCAGAAGGGAGCTCTGATGAAGAAAACTGTCTTACACAGGACGAAATCCAAGCTTTTCGCGAAAGAAACCAGTCCTTCTACAATAACCGTGACCAGTACCGACAGCTGCTAAAGGAGAAGTTCACCAATTACTGCCGTGCTACTGAGCAGAGTCAACCTGTGTGTAAGAAGTGGTTTGCCACCGCTAGTGTCAACTAACTGAAGACCACCCTCTGGGGGGGGGAAAGGACACATGTCCACTGCTGCAATGTGTTTTGAAGTCTGTTTTGAATTAATATTGGGTGTCCTGTTCACTCATTTCTCCTTCACGTTAAATGTATTTTCCTGTTTCTGTTGGTATCTCTTAATCTTTCTTTTGATTGCACTTGTACACAAATGCATTTTTTTGGCCACTTTCTGTGGTCATCTTGTTGACCAAACCTTGCTGTTGTTGATGGTCTAATCCCGGTTGTTGGTTTAAAGTTCAGTGGAATCAAGCTTTGCAAACTGTGACATTAGAAATGATACATATTAGAAGTCTTGTGATTTCTTTTTTTTTTCTTTTTTTTTTATTCTGTTCTTTTTGGTGACAGTGAACTGTAGTGGTAAAGTTATTACCATTTAGTCTGTACAGAAATTCTAATGATTTTACAGAGAATAAACATCCATTTGTCACAAGGACTTGGGTGTAATGTCAGAGCATTGTGTAAAATTTACTAAATAAAGAATATTTATTAGTAATCATAATACGGTGTATATTTATTTAGCTGATATTTACAGTACGTCTGGATAAAAAAAAAAGAGTATTTTTCGTGGATAACCCTACGAACTTGTATCTGGATCAAAAAAAAAATTTTTTCGTGGATAACCCTACGAACTTGTGAATGAATTGATAAACCACCACGTTACCTTCATATTTGTTTATCTTGCTGTGTTGTAATATGCCCTTTAGATGGTTATCGAAACAAGTGTTAAATTGCAAAAGAAATTAAGCGACGGAATGTTCTCCATTTCGTTGTACGTGCTCAATAACAGTAAGTGGCGCAATTCTGTCACTCTTCCACTCACCTTTAAATGTTGTTACATTCTACACTTCCACCGGTGTTACTTTAACCACGTCCAGTAGGTGGAGGTAAAAGATCCACCCACACAGCGGCCCGAGCCCTATGGCTAAAAAAAAAGTGGGAGGTGTCGTGAACCAAACATTTATTCACTCCGGCTCTAATATTTCTGGCAGCCGAGCGCATGGATCACGGCTTACACGGCCTCTGTTGTCCTGGAACAAGTCGGCGTGTAACGGTCTTATTTACCCATTTGAATAAATCACACCATTAAACAGTGTCGACTGCGGCTGTTACAATCCGAGAGACGAACAGAAGCACAGCCCAGGAGCGGTTTGTTTTTTTCAGTGGTCGCTGCTGCTGTAGTGTAAAAGCGGAGCAGATGGAGCGGTGGAAAGGCAGAGTGGCCCTAGTGACTGGAGCCTCGGTGGGCATAGGAGCGGCTACAGCCCGGTGTCTGGTCCAGCACGGTATGAGGGTGGTCGGCTGCGCCAGGACGGTCGACAAAATAGAGGTGGGTGAAATTCTTTAATATCTGTGGCAGCTGTAAATGAAGTTTCGACGACACAGGGGAGCTAGCTCTTATAAGTACCCCGGCGCAGTAGCTAACCGCCGTTAAAGGGACAGCTAGGGTTTTTTTTTTGAAAGTGTGTGGTTGTACAAGTCTGACAAAAAAGGGCTGCCGGCTGTGACTGAGCGGTTTATTTGATGAAGCTACATTGCTTGACTATCGCAGCGTTGAAAACGGAATAAAAGTAGAACGCAGCTTAATAATATCGAAGCGCTGAAAACACCCGGAATAAAAGTAGAACGCAGCTTAATAAACACAAGTAACTCGGCTAAATAAATCGTGAAATAACACAAGCTTTTTTGTTGCTTTTTTTTAAAGGTTATTTTACAATAACTTAACGACAACCTGATATTCTGATATCAGTTAATGTTCCTGCACTGTCCATTTTTTTGGGAGAAAATAACATAATTAATAAAAAAAAGTCTCACGTGACAATGAGAATGGGCATATTTAGCTGTAGCCCGGTGCTTTGCTAGTTGTTTTTTTTTAATTAAATTTAAATTTAAAAAAAAAAAATTAAAATAAAGGAAGCAACTTATTGTTTTTCCTTCTTTTTGCACATTCCACGATACAATTACTTTGATTTATCACCGTTTTCTAAGAGGTTTTATATATTGATATCTAAACTTTTTCGATAGAATTTTTTACCTTTTGCTTCCTTAATGATGTCTAACTCTGACAATGAAGTTACAACCTTGGTCCAAATTCACATGATCCTGTAATGTAACCTTTGTCTAACAAATACCACAGGCATACCATTACCCATATAATCTTACTAATATCAGCAGTTGATAACAAAAAAAAGTGATCTCGTTATTTTCTCCAAGGACTTTGGACTGGGAAACAAGCTGTTTACAAAATACAGTTTAACATAAAAGAGTTTTTTTTTTTTTAATAGTACCAGGTGTGGTTCTTTAGTACTTGTATTCATCTACAATGTGCAATGTGAAATGAATTATTGGAACTAAGGGTAAAATCCAAATGGCTGTCCAGCCTCTTTAACAAATTCAGTGACCTTTAACCTGTAGGCAGACTCCTGTCTTTTCCAGGGCAGGTGACATTTGCCACACCCTAGTAACTCTTGTCTAACCACAAGTTATAAGGCAGTGAGTAAATCTTGCTTATCTCATAAGCATATTGTAGAAACTTAGCAGGCCTAGCAATGTTCTAAATACTCTCACATAATTATTTAGCTCAATTAAACCTGAGGGTTTAATTTAGTTTTTTTAATCTGAATAACCACGCAGTAACTGTTGATTAATCAACAAGTAATCATGAATTAATTGTCATGGTAATTTTGTCATTTATAATTATTTGAGCTAAGTCAATGCCCCTGAATATGAGGGGAAACTGTATGGACATTATTGGAACAGGAATACAAATAACAGGAGATAGATGTATGTACGTTAAAATTGTTTTTATCTACAACAGCAGATGGCAGTTTATAAAATTATTACATAGGACGATGTCGAGGAAATGTGCAAAAATATAACCAAAGTTTTGCCTCATAATGGTGGCTTTTAGTCATTGCTGTGCATCTTGACAGTAGGTTGCAGAGTGTTTCGAGTGTTTCTTTAAAACATTAGTGAAGTGCTTGTCCTCAACAATATTAACCATTAGTCTGCAGTTTCTCGCTCTCCATTTGACAATTATGTCATCAGGTTATTAACAATAGACTTACCTACTGCCTTGCGCTTGGCCCTCTGACTGGAGGCTTTAGTCTCCACAGACACTAAATGGGTAGAATTCCTTAACAATGGGAACGTCACATCCTTTCATTTGATTATTTTTAGCTTTTGTTGGTAATTGTAGAAGCTGCCAAAATAGACAATTTCTTTTAAAAATAAGAATGTTTGTAATAATTTGAGAAAAACATCAACACATAAATATACTGTGTATATATATGTTTGTATATATATATATATATGTGTGTGTGTATATATATGTGTATATATGTATATATGTGTATATATGTATATATGTGTATATATATGTATATGTGTATATATGTATATATGTGTATATATATATATAATAAACTAAAAGTAATCAATAAATCTAAACATTACTTGTTGAGAGGTTGAGTAAAAAGGCTCTGTATATTTGACCATTTTTAGTTGGCTCTGTATATTTTACCATTTTTTAGTTGGCCTTGAGGGCAATTGCCTGACAGGTGAGTTAGCATTTATGGAAGTGGAACATCAATCTGATGATTACTTTGCATGTAAGCATGATGAACTGTTGAGGGGGGATTAATCAATGATTGATTTTGTTAGACAATCAACCAATAAGGTAAATCTATGATCACTTCATCTTCAAACAGTAACATAAGTTACTTCTGCCCCTGCACTGTTACAGTGCTCAGTAGCCATTGCCAGATAACAGATGTTTGTTGTTTTTGGCAAACCTTGCATATGGAGAGTGTATGATACAACCTGCAATAAAAACTGGTAAAATCAATGTTAAGTCACTGTGTATGCAACTTCCTTAGCAGTGTCCTTGTAACATCGCGCTTGTCTTTTAATGCAGAACGCCTGTTCTCCAAATGGCAAAGAACTTTTGAAGGCTTCCTTGCCTCATTAGGGAGCCTTACATATTATACAGTGCAGGCTTGATGCGAGAGTAAATCCATATTTCAAGTAGGACTCTTGGAATTGTCTGTTAAATGCAGGTTTTTTTTTTTTCTTTGAAGACGTAGGCTTATTCTGTCTCCTCACTGGCTCTTTAACCCTGCGAAAGAAACTTTCCAAAGACGTTTGTTTTTGGTCCATTTTGCTAGTTTTGGGGTTTCAATTCAGCCATAAGATATTATGTGTTACCGGCCGGCGCAGACCTTATAAGAAGGTAGCAGACGTAGGAAAGACATACCGTAACCGAGGCAAGCATCTTGACATACTGTATATCCGGTGTCAGTCATAGACAGATGTGCTGAAGAGAATCTGGTAATTTTTCAAAATAAAACATTGGTCAGTTCAGATAATAAATAAAACGGAAATTATGTAAATTCCCTGCGGCCCGGTACCAATTGACCCACGGATTGGTGCCGGCCAGCGGCCCGGGATTTGGCAGCCACTGTGTTACACAATAGTTAGCCTACTTGCATTTATACTGAGGTCACATGTTCTCTGCTGTCAATAGTTAACTGCTAGGGCTTGTTTCTGCACTTGTGTAAGACTTCCACAAGGTCATTTAGATAATTTGAAGTTCTTTTAGTGCTTTTCCATAATGTCACCATGTTGTCAACATAAAAAATGACCACATGACATGTTACTTTAATGGATTACAATATATGACCATCACTTGGTTAAACAGCATATTTTAGGTTGTCTAGTTGTGTAGGATCGATAAGACAGTATATATATATATATATATATATATATAGGACTTATTGTCTTGGATGATGCACAAAGCAAGTACTATGTTTTTCTCTGCTTTATAGAACTGTGTTCCTGCTGTTCATTTGCCAAGCTGGCATGCTGCAAAGTAAAAGATGGTAGCAACTGAGTGATTTAAAAAAAAAAAAAAAAAAAAAACAACTATCTGACATATTTTTTTCAGTGCCATTTATTCTGCTTTAAAATGATTTTAAAATTTTCATTTCTATATATATATATATATATATATATAAATAGTCAGACTAGACTTGTTAACAAAACCGGGAAAGAGAGTAGTGGAATAGTGGCAGCTGTATTGTGTAGCTCTCTACAATACTATGCAGTGGATTGTGGGGGAGCAGCAAAATAGAAGGCAACGTGTGGTCACCATGGGCTCTGTGCAGGAATGGAGAAGACGGGGCCACATCCAAGTAGCAGCAACACATCTTTTCATCAAGTCTAGTGAAACCCTCCAAAGCCACAGGAAGAGGGCTTTAATGTAACTGATAGAAAGTGTTTGATGCCCACAATAGTATTTTAAGGTTCCTACTAACTGCTTTAAAACTGGAGTACCGTAAGTCGTTTATTTAGATAAAGTCAGTAAAATATCATTAGGTAAACGTAGTTTAACAGTGTAGGAGAGATTTTTTTTTTGCTTTTTGCCACATGCTCTTGACTCAACTATTGCAGACCATTATAGATACTTCCGTTATAGAGAAATAGAATTTAATAGTGTTCTTTACACTAATATTCAAGTACTTTCCATCTAGGTTTCTTGAATGAGGGCGGAAAAGTCTCCCCATAACCGTACTCTAGTTTGCTACTTGGTTTGGGCTAGCATTGGGCTAATAATAGTGGCATTATGACAAAGCACTATAAAAGCTTTGCCGATCATCATTTCATTTTCATTTCATAATACGGGCAAACATTTTCTTGATAATCCGGCATTGTATTCTTAATCATGGCTTCCAGTTGAAAATCACATTTACTGAGGAAATGAGGAAAAATAGCCGATCTAGTTTAGTTGAAGGGGGGAAAAAAAAGTGTTCCATTGTATTTTTAAAAGACAAAGAAAGCTCTTGCCCCTAGAGTACTATTCGCACTCAACGAAATTATAAAAAGTGTTTGTTCAAATACTAACTATTTATGTAGTACTAGCCAGAGGTGTGGACTCGAGTCGCATGACTGATCTGTGTAAATATATTATTATTTTATTTAAAAGGACTCAAAACAGAAACGGCAGGACTTGGGACTTGACTTGACACTTTTCAGTCTTGACTTGGACTTGACTCGGACTTTGCCTGTCTTGACTTGAGACTTGACTCGGACTTGAGTGCAAAGACTTGAGAATTACTTGTGACTTGCAGCAGAACGACTTGGTCCCACCTCTGGTACTAGCTAAAGGATTGATTTAATTTAATTTCTTGAAGTGGGAATGAATGAAAACAAAAACAAGATGGAAAGAAAAAAGAGATTGTTTCCTTGTTCTTGTTTTTCAGTCAAAAACATCCCTTCATTAATTCTTGACCAGTTGTATTTTCATTTTCTATTTTGGTAGAGCAATGTCTC